TTACAGACCGACAAGGAATAATCCAGAGATTCCCAGATGACAGACTACAGGTTGAAAACCACTGATCTACAGATATCACTTGGATAATCCTGCTAAGGTTTTAATATTCAGCTAAACTTGAACACCATCCAAATGGTTGCGTAAGACCAAGAAAGTCATGAGCACCTCCTTTATTTGAGATTTTGTATATGTATATATATAGACTGAGTGAATAACGATATAAAGCCAATAAACAAGTTAAAATAAAAAATAATTTAAAAGCTGAAAATGTATGGTGTCTAAAAGGTTCTGCAGATCTTGACTTTACAGAAATACGAGGAAAAAGAGAGGTAAAATAGATAGCTGAGCTTCTTCAATTTCAAATAAGGTTAACTCTGGAATAAAACTAAACTTTCTAATGCATACTTCTAATGTTTTCATCAGTTTCTTATTATTTTCTGTAGGACCATGGCAGTAGTCAGAGTATTGCATTTAATCCTTAAAATAATACCTTCATAAATTAATATTTTCTATCTCCAAAATAGTTATTCCTTTCAAGATGTTCATTTACTAAACCCAAACATAGTCTCACTTTATTTCTTAAAAACAGTGAATCAGTTAGCAATGAGTTATTTTTTTAAATTAAGCATTTTTTCCTGAAGCTTAGGTTTTAGTTCCCTGATAACCTAGAGTGCAGGTCTTCTTACCTGCTGTCAAACTACCCATCTATCCCCTATCCCCATTCCCTCAGAAAAATAAATAAAAGTCATTCTATCTCTTCTCATTAAAACTAGTTCTTCTTTTTAAAACACTACCTGGTCCTGGAAACGACAAAGTCTGAATTTCAAAATCATATCAGATATGTGAGCAGAATCCTGCTCTGAAGGGTCTACATAACAAGTTACAGCATTAATAGTAAGCACACCACAGCATACAAGCAATTTGGAAAAATGCCTAAACCTTTCACAAGTATTTTCTTTCTCCCTTACAGCTTTTACCTTCTCTCTCTCACCACAATCTAACAGGGTGCTCAAGCATGCTGCCAACTTCAAGCACATCAAGTACTCCCTCTGTGACAGTGCATACACTATTTTCAAATATAGCATCACACATACACATGGTTGAACCTGGACCTATGTCGAGAAATATGATTCCTGTTCAAGGATCTCTCCATTCTTGTCTTCAGCCTGATTTCAGAAAAATTCTCTTATTTAGGAAAGACTTTTAATCGTATGCTTGAGCTTCATTCAAAACAATGAAAAATTCAAAGCATGTGCTCCATTCTTTAAAATAATTATGAAAAAACTAATTTAATAATTTTGCCCTTTTTTTAATCCTTTCTCTTCTATTAATTCTACTTGCCAATTCTTCTTGTATCTTTTGTCTGCTGCAAATGCTTTAACAGAATGCAACAACAATGCTTATAATACTCTTTGTCCTTCATTGTCAACGTACATTTTTTAGCTTTCTTCTCCCTATTTTCTGTCAAATATTCAGGCTGGACCAGAGCTGCTTTTATCAGTCTTGCCCCTTGCAATTTTTTGCTATACTCATCAGCTCTACTCAGTTACAGTGGTTTCTTTGTCTTTCCATCAATTGAGATGTAAAAAGGGTAATTTAGGAAGGTGGGAGGATATGGAGTGGGAAGTGAGGATGAGGAAATCTTCAAAAAGTTTTCCCTGTTTTTTTTACCTTGTCATGCAGCCTTATGTAAAAACAGCCTCCCCTGGCCATGGCGGGCCAGGCTACTTTCTTTCCAGTGTACTTTGGATTCCTTTCAACAAAACAATAAAGCTCTTGCTTAATTTTAAGTGCATGCATAAATTTTGTTATCTTCAATAATCACAGGTTAAAGATAAGCATAAACCGACGTGCTTTGCCAAGTAAGAATGAACTTACAATTGTTCTTAATGTTCTTTATTGAATCTTGGCCTAAAGATTTGCTATACCAGTCTTCCACTCTGCTGGAAAACATTCAAGACTTTTGGTAGTGTATTATCTCTCTGTGTCATCTAGTCTGATGTCTCCATACCCACTTCATGTTCACTAAGGAAAAGACTGAGGTTCTGCCTTTGAATCTGATCCCTGGGTGCCCCTGTCACTGAATCTCAGCTCTGCACAGCTGAACTGCAACTCTTTCAACAGCTGATCATATGTGAGTACCCTCAAAAACAATGTAAGCCTCTGGTTTGAACTCACTTAATTATTTATTTTTAAGTCGTGTATGTATTTTTAGAACAAAGGTGCTGAACTATTCAAAATGTAATGTAGAAGCCTTTGAACCCTTTTAGCCTCCATTTTCTAGAAGAGTATAAAATAACAAAGCTACAGATGTGATATTCACTGAATTCCTATTGAGTAACATCTCTTCTGTATAAAATCCTATATTATGGTTAATAAAGATCAGGTTTCAAAGTCCCAGGGAGATCTCCATACACTTGAGACACCGGGAGAAGGAGGGTAGAGGGCCAGGGCCACTGTCATTCATGTGGAAGTGGGGCTAAGTCAGTGCTGGATGCTAATAGAAATTCTGCCTGGAGTAACTGATAGCATTTTGTGCATCATCATCATTACCTTTACAATTCACTATGATGGCCACAAT